CCTTTATTAAAATGTATATACATTTTTTTGGCACCCTCTGTATTTACCTAACAGTCCCAAACACTTTTACAAATCAAAACTGTACTAAAGAGAAATGAAGATAGGAAGAAAAAAACTTGTTATTTATGCTAATGGAAAAGAGATTATGACTCCAGAGTGTTTATTCCGAAGCATGGTTCCACTATCAGGAGACCAAAGGTTTCTAGAAGAGGCACTTCTAAGGCATCCAGGATTTCAGCTTTAATTCACTTTGAGGATCCCATGCCTATGCATTATTCAGAAAGCAGGACATCCACTCAGAGGCTGTAAGTATGCCACAGGCCAATCTAAACCCACATGCACTAGGGAACATGAAACCAGAGCCTACGGAGGTCAGCCAGAGGTTAGTTTTGAAGCTAAAACTTGCTTCATACTCATGGCAATTAAGTATCTGCTGAAATCTGAGGAGACATTAAGGAGAGCTAATAGCCCACTTTAGAATCTTGCTCTGACCATGGCTATTCCCTGATATTGCCCAGAAGAATGACATAAATAAGTATTAACATTTACTGAAACTTACCAACTACTCTGCCTAATACTTTACCTGTATTATGCTATTTAAACTTCCATTCCTACCTGTAAGGTATTACTGACCCATTTTTAAGGTGAAGAAATTGAGGCTTAGTGAGGTCATAGAACCTGCCCCAGGTCACACAGTAAGTTGCAAGGCGGGGCTTGAACCATGTCTGTCTTATATTCGAGTCTGTGCATTTACACTTGTTTCAATTTTCATGGATGTCAATCCCATCCCTGGCTGGGCTAAATGGTGAAGTACATGGCTCCACAACAAAAAGGCTACAGAGAGGCTGTACCCCAGTTACCTGTCAGGGAGTATCATCTGCAACTCTGTCTCCCTCAATATACACCCCGAGAAACCAAATTCATGGAAGATGGCCTGAAGCATGTGTTCCATCCACTCTTCAGGAAATCTACAGCCCAGACCACCAGCGTGCCATGAGCGTACTGAACCCCAGTAACACTGCTTCGCTAAAATGTACTTGGAGTGTGTTGCTGTCACCAGATGCTGAGAAACAACTGTTACTCAGCATTGTTGAACATAATGACAAGGTCATGGTGGGGTACTTCCAAAAACCACCTGTCTAATCTGCTATCAGTATTTCATAAAGTCAAGAAAACGGAATGTCTCATCACTTACCCAAGGATATGTTTGCAGAGCAGTCTACAGTAATCACTGTGAGAACTGGTGATTAACACAAGAACTTTCCCAGCATTCTTTAGCTGCCAAAGCCACTTTTTTACAGATTCGGGACAACTGTGTAAATACCTGCCTGGATCTCTCTTTATTTCTGGAAAATATATTCCACAGTTTTCTGAAAAATAAAAAATATCAAGGAGATTTTTCTTGTTTCATTTTTTTTCCTTTTCTGACTCTGCATTCTCAAACAAGTTAACCTCTCTCAAAACCACAGATAAAAACAATCTAGCAGTTAGTACTGCTTATTAAAAACGCATCTTATCCTTTACTTAAAAAAACATAATGATGACTGAAAATTTCAGTTGAGAATATTTGTTGTCTAGTTGACAAGAACGGATAAACTGTATAACATAACAAACACAATATAATCATCATTCTCAAATCAGAGAAAACCTTACTGCATCAATTGACTGATAAATATTCTTTCAATCATTCAATACATATTTGCTGAATACAAATAACAAACAAATAAATATGCAGAGAATGCCCTACGAACACGTCTTTGGCATGAAGCAGCAAGAAGGGAGCTG